GGCGGGCGCGGAGGCGCTGTGCCCACAGCACTGCCGGGGCTGCACAGGCTGGCTCTGGTCACAACAGCCTCGGGCAAGAAGTGAGGGAACGGGCACCCTCTGGTCTCCTGCGTGTCCCCCAGCCCAGGACGAGCCCAGAGGATGACGGGGGGAGGGCCACCCACCTAGCTCAGAGACCACCTCCTCTCTGGTCACCGAGTCCTGCTCTAGAAGAGCGCCAATCTTCTTCAGGCGGCTGGAGTAGGGACGCTCCTCCATGCCCAGCCTGTGAGTCAGGGGTGAGGAGTCAGCAAGGTCGGAGGCGGCAGGGGGGGACGTAGAGAGGGGGCGCAGGGGGGATGGGATTATGCTGGCGGCCAGCACAGCTGTCCTGACAAGAAGCCAGGAGGGCTAGGCCTGAGCCCTCTCATCTGCTGCTGCCCTAAGGGCCTTGGGGCGGAGTCAAGGCCAAGGGGCTCCTCCCACCCCTCCTAAGGGTCTGCAGTGACAAAAGGGAAGGTTCCGGCTGGGGGCAATGCCCAAGGACCCCATGCTGCAGGCCTCTTGCGGACACCCAGCTTGCTCCATCCCACATGCTCACTCCCTGGCATCTGAGACGGACTGCGCGTCACTCTCTAGCTCTTCCATGTGGCCCAGGAGCTGCTCGAGGAAGTGCTCACTCGACGACTCCCCCTGCAAAGCCAGGTGCACAGCCAGGGCCTGCAGGATGGCGCCGTTGTAGCCCAGGGAGGAGGCGTGGGTCAGCTGGGCCGACAGCCGGGCAAACTAGGGCAGAGGCAGTGGAGGCAGAGACGTGCTGTCACAGAAGCCGGGCTGCGGGGCAAGGGACGAGGGGGAGGGGGTGGCGGGGAGGTGGGAGCCAGAGGCCAGCCCGCCCGGCCTACCTTCTGCACATCCTGGACGCTGCTATAGGCCAGGGAGATGCCGGCCACCCGCATGGCGCCCCCGTTGCCGTAGGAGCCCTTCCCGTTGAACTGGGCGCGGGCAGGCTCAAAGACGTCGCGGCACTTGGGGCTCAGCAGCTTCTTGAAGACGGTAATGACCCCAGCGCCGTAACCGCGGTCGGGCTCTTTCTTGTACTCCTGAGCAAACCTGGGGGAGCCAGGAGCTGGGAGCGTGGTGGAAAGGGTGCCCGTCGGGGCAGGGGGCTCAGGGACCCCAGGGGCCTGTCCCAGCAGCCCCAAGGGTGTCTGTGTCCTGCGGAGGGAGGGGGTCCCAGCACGCACTGGCCCTGCTTTGCCCCCGCCCCCCTGACGGGTGCCCTCACCTGTGAGCCATGTCCACCTCGTCGAAGGCCTCCTTGGCCAGCAGGGACTGCACGAGGGCCCGGGCCATGGCCGTGTCGTCCGTGTAGTACAAGACTTCTGCGGGGAAAAGGGGGGGGGCGAGTGTGAGACCACACTGCAGGGCTTCCAGGCGGCGGCCTTGGCCTCCTGCTCTTTGTCCGTCTTTTTTAAAAGCAAGCTCTACACGCAGAGTGAGGTGTGACCCCACGACCCCAAGATCGAGTCCCTGAGTTCCTGCTCCACTGGCTGAGCTGCCCAGGCACCCTGGTCCCCCGCTTTTCTTTACCTCCTCCGGGATGCCTGCCATCAGCCCCTCACGGCACCCCGCTTCCTGGGCTCCAGGCCTGGGGAGCTTCAGCGGCTCTCCACTCCAGGTCGCCGACCTGCTGGCTCCCCAAGGAACCTCGTCTGCCCCCCTCTGCCTGCGTGACCCTAGCCCTCCCGCATCACCCCTACCCCCCACTGGCCTCTTCGCACAGCCAGAAAATTCTTTTTTTTTTTTTGCTAAAGATTGTATTTATTTATTCATGAGAGACACAGAGAAAGAGGCAGAGACACAGGCAGAGGGAGAAGCAGGCTCCATGCAGGGAGCCCAATGCGGGACTCGATCCTGGAACCCCGGGGTCACACCCAGGGCCGAAGGCAGATGCTCCACCGTTGAGCCCCCAGGGGCCCCAGAAAATTCTTCCTATAAGCAGACTAGCGATTTCCACATCTCACTCTGCGGCTCCAAACTCAGGTGTCGGCTGCTTTCAGGATTAGGCCGGCCCCGCTGCTCGGCATCCAGAGCCCTTTCCCGACAGGCCCCTCGGTCCTCACCTCCCTCGGATCCCACTACTCCCCTCTGCGTCCCCAGAACCAGCCGCGCGGCCCGCTCCTGGGTGCCTGGGGGTGCTGCCCTGGGCCTTGCGACACGGCAACGGGGCTGAGCCAAGACGCCCGAGGAGGCCGTGGGCCAGCAAGGGCTGCTGGGACTTGGCTTTACTGACGGAAGAGACGCTGCAGAGGAGGCGGCAGCCCCTGGCAGGCCCCACCCCTCCTCTCTGGACTGCGAGCCCCCTTCCCTGCTTTTTCTCTTTCACTGGTGGGAGACTCACATCCTGGCTTCTTTTTTGATTTTTATTTTTATTTATTTATTTATTTATTTATTTATTTTTAAATTTTTATTTATTTATGATAGAGAGAGAGAGAGAGAGAGAGAGAGAGAGAGGCAGAGACACAGGCAGAGGGAGAAGCAGGCTCCATGCACCGGGAGCCCGACGTGGGACTCGTTCCCGGGTCTCCAGGATCGCGCCCTGGGCCAAAGGCAGGCGCCAAACCGCTGCGCCACCCAGGAATCTCCGATTTTTATTTTTTTAACTGAAATCACTTTTTTTAAAAATTTAAACTCATCCCATCACGCGCCCTCCTCAGGCCCTGCCCCCATCCCGGCTTCTCTAGAAGAGGGGTAGACAGACCTCTAATCCACAGCCTCCCCTTGACCCAGGAGTCCCTGGTCCAGTCCCACCTACACCAGCTCCCTGGTGGACTTGGTTCTTCCTTCCTCCCGCCTCCTGTGCCCTCAACCTCTCCCCGTGTGAAGTAGCACCGATTCTCCCTTCTTTGCCCCTGCACCCTGCTTTGCCCCCGGGAGCCATTCCTCGGCCATTCTCAGCCCGTGACTAGGGCGTGAGGGTCACATCCACTGGCCTCCTGTGTTCGGGGGTGGACAGAGGGCAGGCCAGGCTGAGGACAGGCAATCTGGGATTTCTGGCCAGGGCTGCCGCAGACAGACCGTCTTCCGCTGGCCGCTGAGCGGGGAGCTGCTCGGGCCACCCTGGGGAGGGTCTGCCCGAGGGGGAGGAATGTGCATCTGAGTAAGGAGAGGAGCTGGGGCTTGAGGACGTGGCTTGAGCCCTGGGATTCAGCTCCACCTGAAGCCACATCTACCTGGACTTCAGTTCCGTCGTCACCGCCGTCTCTCTCTGCTTAGCTTGTTCCGCGTGTCTCGCTACTTGCGTCTACAAAGTTCTAAATCACCCATCAACCTAAGATACTTTTCCCTCAACGTGAGAGCAAAGACGAAATTAACAGACTGTGCCGCCACCTTTGCCTCAACCGAGGCTCCGGTCTGTCTTCCCATCAGGCCAAACCGTGCCAACCACATCCCTTCGCCGCGAGCTCCGAGGCCCACCGAAGTCCCACCCCGGGCTTCAACACCCTCCTGAAAACGGCCTTCGGAATGCAGACCGGCCCTCTCCTGCAGCGGACACCAGCGGCCGGGCCTCACCTTCACCTTCTCCCGGCTTTGTGCGTGCCCAGGCACCCCCCCCCAACCCTTCCCAGATCCAGCTCCTTTGGCTCCTCGGGTTCTGAGCATCGGCCCCTCCTCCTTCCTGCGGTACCTGCAGAACCACCCCCGCAGACCGAGACCTGGCTGCGCACGTGGCTGAGCGCCTGGCTGAGCACGTGGCTGCGCACCTGGCTGAGCACCTGGCTGCGCACCTGGCTGAGCACGTGGCTGAGCACGTGGCTGCGCACCTGGCTGAGCACGTGGCTGTGCACCTGGCTGCGCACCTGGCTGCGCCGCGGAGGGAGCAGCGGGCACGGGGACAGCGCTGCACAGGCGCGGGTTGGGCTAGAGCAGGCCGCTGCAGGGGAGCCGCAGGGCCACGGGGGCAGAGCTGGGCCTCGGAGGGCCAGGTGTCGGCCGGCCAGGTGTGACGCGAGAAGGAATTTGGCTCTATCCTGAGGGTAAAGGAAAATCACGGCCGAGCTTCGGCGGGGAGGCCGCGTGCGGAGGACGGCCTGGCGGGGCGGGCTCGGGAGACCTGGGCCCCACGGGCAGCGGCGCACGCGGCGCACACGGCGGACCCGGCGCCAGGCCGGAGAAGGACGCCCGGGGGCCGCTCGCGGGGCTCCGAGGACCGGCTTGCCAGGCCCGGGCCGGGCCGGGGACCCTGCGGGATCGGAGGGGCTCGGTCTCAGCCCCGCCCCCGCCCCGCCCCGCCCCCACGTGGCCCGGCCCCGCCCACCTGTCCGCGCGCTCCCCGGCGAGCCCGGGTCCGGCTCCAGGCTCTGGACGTGATGCAGCACTGACGTCAGGGTGACGGTGTCGTGCGCCTCGTACAGGGAGCCCACGCAGTCCCCGAGCAGCGCGCCGGCCAGGCAGCCTCGGAAGCGGGAGAGGGAGCGGGCCGCCCCGGCCCCCGCGCAGCCCGCCGCCGTCATCGCCGCTGCCGCCATCCGCGCCGAGCAGTCGCCACTTCCGGCGCGGCCGGCGCGCCCCATGGCGCCGCCCCCGCCGCCCCACAGCGCCGCCCCGCGGCCCGGAGCCGCAGCGCCTCCCCGCCCACAGCGCCGCCCCCCGGCCCGGAGCCGCAGCGCCTCCCCGCCCACAGCGCCGCCCCCCGGCCCGGAGCCGCAGCGCCTCCCCGCCCACAGCGCCACCCCCGGCCCGGAGCCGCAGCGCCTCCCCGCCCACAGCGCCGCCCCCCGGCCCGGAGCCGCAGCGCCTCCCTCCCCTCGCGCACAGCGCCGCCCTCCCCTGGCCTCATCAAGAGGCTCCAGGGACGCAGAGCTGCTGAGGGGCGGCGCTGCTGCCCGAGCCCGGGGCCCCTGGGGACCGAGGAGGAGCCACCAGGTTGGGGAGCGCCCAGCTCCTCGCGCGCAGGAGGCGGCACATTTATTAGATGCGACCCCCCCACCCCACCCCACCCCACCCCCCACCCCGCACTAGACCGTCTCCAGCGGGCAGGTTCTGAGCGGACTCAGGGTGCGGTTCGTGGTGCGGGCGAACGTGTCCACCTGCGGCGCGAACGTCGCGGCCGGCGCGGCCAGCTTGCGGCGGGTGTCCATGCACTTGGCGTCCAGCAGCATGGAGCTGGCCTTGCACGCGAGGTCGGCCTGCAGCCTGGCCAGGTGCCGCTGCAGCGCGTCCAGGGCGTCCCTGGGGAGGAGGCACGGCGTCCCATCAGCCCTGCGGGCCGCGAGGTCGGGGCCGGGGGAGCCAGGAGGCAGTCCGCGGGGGGCAGGGTCTCCCCCACCCCCACCCCCACCCACCCCCCAACTTACTGGGCCTGCGCCAGCTTGTGCTTGAGCGCAGCGATGGTTGCCTCTAACTGGTGAACCTCGTCAGTGAGGCCGTGCTGAGCCTGGAGGCCGGGTGGGGAGGCCGGGTCAGCGCAGTCCCTGTGCCTCCGGCACTGCCCGTCGCCAGCACCCGGCACCCGGGCTCCTGCCAGCAGCAGGTGCAGGGGGAGTGACCTGAGGTCGGCGAGCCAGGGGGTCCCCGCGCACCTGGTCCCGGCACAGCTCCACGTTGGGCCGGCGAGTCCGGGACTCTAGCCGGGTGTGGCATAGCTTCAGGTTCTGGAACTTCCTGCGCAGATCGTCCTCCAGGTGCCGGATGTCCTCCTGCAGCTCGGAGATCTCCTCCAAGGTCTGCGGGGACAGAGGCACCGGTCGCCCCCCTCATCCCCGCCGTGGCGGCCCCGCCCGGGGACTCGGCAGACGGGGCTCACGTTCTTTTCCTGCCACCTGAGCTCGCCGTACACTCTCTCCATCTCCCGCAGCCGCTTCCTGAAGGCAAATTCTGTGGCCACCCTCTGGGCTTCGAGCTCATTGTTGGTCTGGAGAACAGGGTGGGCGGCCCAGCAGAGGGTGTGAGCCGGGGCCACCCCAGGAATGGCCCACGCCGGGCAGGGGGCCCACGGGGGACCCGGGAGTCACCTGGGCGATAGTTAGGGCCATGGCCTCCCGCAGCTCCACCGCTGCTTTCATCTCAGCCTGGGCCCGGCTCCTGTTCAACTGGCTGAAGCCATCCCACTGCTGGAGAGTGGAGGAGCTGCAGGGGTGGGGACACGGTCAGGGCCCAGGAGGCCAGCAGGACACGGCCACGGCCCCCAGGCTTCTTACCCGTCGGGGACACGGGTGGGATCGACCTTCAGGGTGACGTTGGGGGACGTGAGGCTGAGGGACAGGCAGCCTCGGTCGATGTCCAGAGTCTCCACCTTGTCCCAGTGGTCAGCGCTGAGCTGCTGGCGGGCTTCCTGCAGGAGGCTGGGGACACAGGGGTGGCACGCAGCGTGGGGACACCACCCCTGGCCGGGCACCCTGGACGAAGCCGCACTCGCCCTGCTCCCACAGACACACTCCCGGGAAGGGACACAGGGGAGGTGGCAGGTGGGGGCAGGCGGGGGCAGGTGGCCCAGGGGTGCCCGGGCGGTGGGGCCTGTGCCCTCGGTGCAGGCCATGACCCGGGCTCCCGGGATCGAGTCCCCCGCGGGCTCCCCACGAGAGGCCTGCTTCTCTCTCTGCCTGGCTCTCTGCCTCGCTCCGTGTCTCATGAACAACTAAATAAACCAAGGAACACAAACAGATGATGGCGGCCTAATGCAGGGTCTGGGCAGCGTTCTGAGCCCGCGACCAGGCCGTGAGACAAGCGCCACCATCGGGTTTGGGCTCTGGGCAGAGCGGGGTCAGGAGGAGCCTGAGAACCAGTTGCTTGTTGTCCACAGTACACGTGTCGCCTGTGAGACCCGCAGCCTGGGGCTCCCGGGGCGCAGGGGGTTGGGAGTCTGACTCGATTTCACTCGGGTCCCAATCCGACGGGCTCCTCGCTCAGCGCGGAGGCGGCTCGCCCCTCTCCCCCTGCTCCTGCACCTGCGCATGCGCTCTCTCTCTCTCAAATAAATAGACTTGAAAATCTTTTAAAAAAAGAAAAAAATGACAAGCAGCCTTCAAGTGCAGGTGAACGCGGCCACAAGGGCTGCCCCTTACCAGAGCTTCTCGAAGGCTTGGCTAATCCTCTGCTGCAGGGCCTTCTTGGTGGCATCAATGACCTCCACCTCTTTGTGCAGCTCTTCCTCCACCGGATCCTTCACCACATCAATGTCGCGCCGACTGTCCCTCAAGGTCAGGCACTCGACTGCGACATCCAGAGGCAGGTTCTTGGCCTGCAGGTTTTGCTCTGCGGATTCTTTCATCTAGAAAAGAGAGGGCCGGGGACACTGGTGGGGCCATCCCCTGGGGAAGCAGCCCAGCCCTGCCTTAGCAGAGGGCCCCGGAGTGACTCGATGGATGCGCCCCCCCCAGGTCCCCATGCAGGGGTGGGGGGCGGGGAGGTGCTGGTGGCTGGGTCTCCGGCCCGGACTCCCTGCCTGTGTCAGGGCATCGATCTCCGCGTCCAAATCCGTCAGACACTTGTCCAGTGTCTCCTTCCAGCGGTTGACGCTGTCGATCCTCTCTGCCAGCCGAGTCCTGTTGTCATGTTCGTCCCAAATGGTCTGGGAGAGACAAAGCCGGATAAAGAGGGTGCTGAGGGGCGCGGGCCTTTTCTCGCCCCCCCCCCCAGCCCCCGGCTCCTGGCCTCTAACCTGGTTGCTGGTCTCATTGCGAAGGACCCGGGCCTCCTGGCGGATCTGGTGCGAAGCCTGTCGCTGTCGCTCAGCGTTGGTGGCCAGCAGGTGGCTGTTGGTGTGCCAGTCTGGCAACCGGAACCGTTGACTGGGCTTGAAGCTCGGTGTGGCCATGGCGCAGGGGTCAAGGGTCAGGGCACGGTCACACAAGGCGGCTGGAGAGGGAACACAGGACTTCAGGCCGCCCCTCAGGAGACGCTCACCTGCGCGCGCCCCCTTCCTGCAGGCCCGGGGGCACAGCCTGGCCTTGCTCCTGTGTGGGAGCAGCAGTGCTCGGGAGCCCACCTGCAGGTGCTGGCCCGGGTGAGAGGGGACGATCATGGGCTCCCTCCGGGTGTGAGTGTGAGTGTGTGAGTGTGTGAGTGTGTGTGAGTGTGGCCAAGCCCTTAGTGGGGCTGGGGGGGGTGCCCGGCAAAATGGCCCAGTCGGCACCCCTCCTTGCAGCGACCAAGTCTTGTGGCAGCTTCCCTGCTTCGCGCAGACCCTGGGGCTGGAGGCAGAGCCACTTCTCCCTCTGGGAAGGGGACGCGCATTGGCTCGGGGGTGGGCGGTGGGGGCTGAATCCGACCCCATCTGCCCCCCAGGAGGGCGGGCGGCTGTGTGTGGGGGGGGGCCCTGGCAGGAGCGGGGCCTCCTCTCCCTCCGCGGGGTCACCGCCCTGGGTGAGGGTCAGCCGGGCAGGGAGGGGGAGGGAGGGAGGAGGGACCCGCCGCCCCTCGGCTCTTGTCTCACCTGCGCCCGGTGTCCCGCGTCCCCAGCGCGGTGTTGGGAGTCCCGGTTGCCAGGCAACCCCCCCCCCCCCGCAGGCTTTGGTTGGACGCGCGCAGGGCGGGGCTCGCGGCCACTCCGTTGACACGGTGCACATTTGTGCTTTGATATCAGTTGTGCTTCGACACGGTATAAAAAGAAACATTGCAAAAAAAAAAAAAAGAAATAGTGCATAGAAAAAGTACCCCCCGCCCGGGGTCACGCCTTGCAGGTCTCCTTCCAGAAACTACGGCAGAGCCCGCATCCTGCCCTGGACGCAGAGGGCCTGACGCCGCCTTGGGAGAGGCCACAGCCCCAAGGGCGGGGAGGGGGGTTGGGGGGTAGGGGGATGGGGGGGTCAGGAGCAAAGCTCAAGATCCAGCCTTTGTCTTGTTTTAGGTTTTTTTTTTTTTAATTTTTATTTATTTATGATAGTCACAGAGAGATAGAGAGGCAGAGACACAGGCAGAGGGAGAAGCAGGCAGAGGGAGAAGCAGGCAGAGGGAGAAGCAGGCTCCATGCACTGGGAGCCCGACGTGGGATTCGATCCTGGGTCTCCAGGATCGCGCCCTGGGCCAAAGGCAGGCGCCAAACCGCTGCGCCACCCAGGGATCCCTGTTTTAGGTTTTTTATCTTAATGCCTCTAGGGTTCACGTGCAGAGTGCTCTTAGTTTCAGATGTAGGATATAGTGACTCGATGAGTCCATACATCACCAAATCCAACCTTTTTTTTTAAGATTTTATTTATTCATGAGACACACACACACACACACACACACACACACACACACACAGGCAGAGACACAGGAGGAGGGAGAAACAGGCTCCATGCAGGGAGCCCGGCATGGGATTGGATCCCAGGTCTCCGGGATCACACCCTGGGCCGAAGGGAGACACTTAACCGCTGAGCCAGCTATCCAGGAGTCCCAGGAAACTTTTATTTTAATTAATTAATTAATTAATTAATTATTCATGATAGAGAGAGACAGAGACACAGGCAGAGGGAGAAGCAGGCTCCATGCCGGGAGCCCGATGTGGGACTCGATCCTGAGACTCCAGGATCGAGCCCTGGGCCAAAGGCAGGCGCCAAACCGCTGAGCCACCCAGGGATCCCCCGAAACTTTTATTTTTTATATATATATTTTTTATTTTTTTAAAGATTTTATTTATTATTCATGAGAGACAGAGACACAGGCAGAGGGAGAAGCAGGCTCCATGCAGGGAGCCCGACGTGGGATTCGATCCCGGGTCTCCAGGACTGCACCCTGGGCTGAAGGCGGTGCTAAACCGCTGAGCCACCCGGGCTGCCTGAAGCAAGACGTTTTTAAAAAAGATTTTATTTATTTATTTGAGAGAGAGCCTGAGCAGGAGCAGGACTGAGGGGTGGAGGCAGAGGCGGGAGCAGACGCCCCGCTGAGCAGTGAGCCCAGGGCGGGCCTTGAACCCAGGACCCGGGATCATGACCTGAGCCCCAGGCAGATGCTTAATGGACTGAGCCACCCAGGTGCCCAAAGCGAGACATTTTTTAAACTGGGGGGGGGGGGGGGAGAAAGAGAAAACCTCGAGAGAGAAGAATGCGAACTGACAACTTTTCTTTTTCTTAAGTGATTGAGATTCAGCCCCTGGAGAGCGGCGAGCGGAGAGCGCAGGGCCTTGGCAGCAACAAGCCATTTTCTTTCAAAATCTGTGAAGTGTGATAATATGTATCTTCTCTGTTCTCAGTTTCCTCCCCCCAGGAAGTGTCAGATGATCTAATTTGGTGAGTTCCTTGATCGGGCTCCTCCGAGAGGCACAACTTGTGTCCAACAGCCGAGGCCGAGAAGGCCTTGGCCTGCGGGTTGGTGGCTGGGCTCGGGCCATGGCGACCTGGCGCCCGCAGGGGGACCGCCACCCAGCGCCCCTGCAGGTGGCCTTGGACGCTGGCTCCGGGTGTCCCGATCGGCGATGTAGAATGACCCCCAGCCCTGACGGTCGCTCCCTGTGACCGGTAATTTCCTGGTCCCTGGAGAGACTTCACGTAAATTAGTTTTTCTTCTGCTTCCTACTTTTTTCAAGTGGCCAATCTCTGACAAAACGGCAGTTCCCATTTTAGAATTGACTTGAGGTTGCTTTCTATTTAAAATTTTTTAAGATTTATTTATTTATTTATTCATGATAGACATAGAGAGAGAGAGAGGCAGAGACCCAGGCCAAGGGAGAAGCAGGTGCCCCGCGGGGAGGGGATCCCCGGGACCCTGGGGTCATGACCTGGGTCAAAGGCAGACCCTCAACCTCTGAGCCACCCAGGGGCCCGTTTTCCATTTAATTTAAACCTCACAGGAAAATGGGCGTAAAGACAATTCACAGGACAAGCGATTATTTCGTTCCTCCTTTTCTATTTAGCACCGTGTGAAAAATCAGTTGTTTCCAATATGCAGAAATACCAAACTGAACATCCTAAATAAAAGCTGTTCTATTTTAGCCTTTCTTCCCTTCTAAGCGGAAAAACAAAGTACAAATGTGAAGACAATTTTTTTTCCCCTTTCGGTCTTCGTGGCCTTGCACGGATAATCACAGCGAAGTCCTCGACGGCCGACGTGCAGCGCACGTGGGGGCGAAGACCCCAGTCGAGGTCTCTAGTGCAGGCCTGGCCTTCCCTCTGGGAACCGCAGTTTTAGAAATGTGACAGCCATGCTTGTGAACATGTTTTTCAAGCAACGACAACTTGGTGTCACATGAAAATTTTGCTTTAAATTGGACCTGGCTTTGGCTAAGCACAGTTAAGTAACCGTCCTCCGAAGTCTGGTGGAAGATCTCGAGGTTTTATGTAAGAGTTGTCTGCCAGCAGGGCTGGGTACTGTTGTCCCAGAGTAAAGTACTTTTTTTTTTTTCTTCTTAAAGTAAGCTCTATGTCCAACGTGGGGCGTGAACCAGAGTTAGGCGCTCTACGTACAGCCTGAGCTAGTCAGGGACCCCCTGTCTTTTTTCTTTTCCTTTTTTTTTTTTTTTAACTCAAAGTGGTGGAAATACTTGATCTCTCTCACGCTGGGTATCTTTTTTTTTTAATTTATTTATGATAGAGAGAGAGAGAGAGAGAGGCAGAGACACAGGCAGAGGGAGAAGCAGGCTCCATGCACCAGGAGCCTGATGTGGGATTCGATCCCGGGTCTCCAGGGTCCCGCCCTGGGCCAAAGGCAGGCGCCAAACTGCTGCGCCACCCAGGGATCCCCTCACGCTGGGTATCTTTTTCTTCGTTTGTACATATTCTCCAAAAGGACCTGCTTGACTCTGGCCTTTTTTCCAGTTATTTTCAGCTGGTCTTGCACTTGTGGGTTTTGCACAGCACGGTAGTCAAGTGGCTGCTGCTCCCAACACATTTGCCCTGGAGGTTGAAACAATTTTTGTCCCCCTTTCCCCTTGATTTTTCTCTTATCTTCAGAGGCTACATTTCTTGCACAAGAAAGACAAACCTCTCAGTTAAAATGAATGGAAAGAAAAAAAAATAAAATAAAATGAATGGAAAGTAGCTTGCCGTATTCAAAGTAAAATGTTATGTTTTTAATGCAGATTTTCAAATATCTAAAGGGACTTAACGTAGACACTAGTCATAGTTTTGTATTAAACGTTTAGACAGCACCTCCTACTAGATTTTGAAAAATACTATTCAAAGGGATACCACCGATGGCAAACTTTTGTAATCTAAAATATTTATGAAAGTACAAAAATAAATTAGAAAAATTAGACTCATAAAACAAAATATGTAAAGATGGTTACACAAGCTTAATGTTACATTTGCATAAAATACAAAGAACATTTTGAATTATGTGTGAACGATGGTGGTTACTGAAATCCTGTCTGGGGCAGCAGCAGAACTATTCCTATGGTCCTACCTGGGGTACCAAAAAAACCCCAAAACCATTCCTATGGTTTGTTTTTGGTATTGGTTTTTTGCAAGAGAATGTGCATTTAGCAAGATATGAGTGATACTGTACATTTAGCAGTTTCAAGTACTTTGGGCTATTTCTAAATCACTTAGTAAAAAAGTCTGTTAACGGTTTTGTTTCAGCTGAGAATCAGATGTCATGTTAGGCTTCGTGATCCTAAGCCTCTAATGTGTCAGTTTTGTTTACAAACACTTTTTGAATCCAAGCATTATTCTTACCAGGAACTATTTTATTTATTTATTTATTTATTTATTTATTTATTTATTTATTTATTTATGACTCTATTTATTCATGAGAGACACACACACAGAGAGAGGCAGAGACATAGGCAGAGAGAGAAGCAGGCTCCATGCGGGGAGCCCGATGTGGGACTTGATCCCAGGACCCCAGGACACACCCTGGGCAGAAGGCAGGCACTAAACCGCTGAGCCATCCAGGGATCCCCAGGAAGTATTTTAGTAGAGACAAATATGAGAAAAGTGCTGCTCTATAAAAGCATTGCAAAGATCTTTATAAAACTGTGGAGATTGTAGAAGTAACAAAAGTGATGGAAGGTAGGCAAAGAATCATCTTCCTCCTGCAGGTAAG